TTTATTTAAAGGTATTAAACTTTATAATTTTAATCTAAAGTACTATAGTTTCCTAGATTTTAGAAATTAAATAAGTAATAAACTCGGTATAATCTATCTTATTTATAAACTAAATTTCCTTACGTTAATTCTTAATGGTTTAAGGAAGAAGTATTTTAATAGTTGTAGTAAGCGTAGGAAGTATAATAATTCCAGGATCCGGTTTTAAAATAAGTAATTAAATAAAAGAATCTCCTGGATCCTTAGTAATATTAACGATCTTTAATAAACTTATAAGACTTCATAGTCCTAAAATTTAAATTTAAGGGTCCTTATAGAATTTAATAAAGCTAGTCTTAATAATTTTATTTAAATTTAAATAAATTAAGTAGGTTTAATAATTAAGGATTATAAGAAACTTACCTTTTACTTTTCTAGGAGCGAATTTTTTTCTTTAGACTCGATCCTTAGTAGGGACGTATATAGTAACTTTAGTCCTAATAGCCCTATAGTTAATAAAGCTAGGTATATAAGTAGGTTAATTAGGGAATAATTTATTATAGAAGAGTTAGTAAGGCGTAAATTTTTTAATTAATTAAACCGTACGGTTAATTATTTTAATTATAGGACTAATTATATAGCCCTAGAGAGTAGGAGAAAGTCCTAATATAAATATTATAATACGTAATTTATTTAAAATTATGCGAATAAACCGTTTTATAAAGCTATTTTAATTAAGCGTACGAGGGCTTAAAGTACTAAAGCTAATATCTTTTTTAATAAAGTAGGTTTAAAGGGAGAGAACTTCTTTACCTCCGTCGTAATAAAAGTAGCCTGGATATTATTAAAATATATTTTTAAGATTTTTAATTACTAATCGAATCTCTATAATAGCATTTTCCTTATATTTAAATAATTTAATTTATTTAAATCGAGTTTTCTTATCGATTAAAATAAAAACGTAAAGAGTTTTCGTTAATAGTAAAAGCTTAATAAAAATAATATTTCCTTCTAGACGGCTTAGGGTAAAAGGAGGGTCTTAAACTACTTCTTTAAAAGGCCTTCGAAGGATCTTAACGGCGTTATAACTCTTATAAATTAAGTCTCAAAGTTTTAACTTTTAGAAATTCTGTATCCTTTTTATAATTAAGGAAGTTTTTTTTAAACGATTTAGGCTAATATAGCCTAGATAAATATATTAAAGAATCGTTAATTATATAAGTTTTACGGAGGGTCCTTTAAAAAAAAATACCGGAAAAATAATAAGTATAAGATTAATAACCCCCTTTAAAGTATCTATATCTTTAG